AATATTAAAAACATTAGTGTTCATTTGTAAGTTGTATTCTGCACAAACTGACCACTAGGAGACAGTAGCAGTGATCAAATGTTCTAATGTTAGACTCTTCAGTAGTCTGCATCAAAGATCCCACCAAGAATATAACCTAGAACCTTCAGGTTTAACAATGAACGATTTATTACAACTGGATTGAAATTCAACACTCCACAACTATACTTTCAATCATTTTGTGATATGGTACGATGTTTACACAATACTATTGGTGATAATTGTTTTACTATCAAAGTGTATGAACTCCATCAATTATAAATTATCACTAGTGAGCTGAAAACCATAGTTTACTTGTAAAGCTTTTGCTTAAATTCATCTAATTCTCATGAATGTTAGATTAATTTAAAAGTGAAACGACTCATACAGTACGACCTTGACAAACAAAGATTTACATCTCATTTTGTTTTGATTTATTTAGATATATAAACATGATTTAATCATTTAACAACTGAATTTCCCATGTGATAGAAAACTCCACAGTTCAATATACCGTAGAAGTGAAATGAAGAAATTCCATCATCACAGGATTTCTCATAGACTAAGGGAAACGTAGATAACATCATAGTCGTATTGATAAACGTGATGTGAACCGTTTGTTAAAAGAACTCAATACAAGTCAAAACCATATTTCTGTTACATATGAAGAAGTGATGAATAATCAAGTTCCTTTTCAAGACATAATGACTAGTAGGAGACGATGGTTCTCTATATAAAAAGCCGACATAAACGGGGCAATATCTTGAATTCCCCAGTCATTATCCAATATATTACAAATATGGATGAATAAAGGGCTTATTCAGTAGGATAGTCGTATTTATACTAGTGATACCATTGGAGATATGAAGCTCTTAACTGAAACAATAATAATCACTGATGTTTACGGACCATTGGAAAAATAGCAATACGATGAAACCTATATATATGGCACCCGAAAAACGTGTCTACATCACCTTATCATTTAGAGGTGACTCAAACAAAGAATTAAATTAGTTAGTATTATTGCATTCTGACTAGCCCAACTCGTGATTATCGAAAAGTGGATGTCTATGTATCACCAAAAACCCGAAAAAAGCGTGTGCCATATCTCATTAGGTCTATCAGTTTACATGTATGTGTGGAAACATGTACATAGAGAGGAGTAATTGTGGCTACCAGTAAGGCTGGTTGAAAAAATATTCAAATGGCTACAAAGACAAATTAATCCCAGGGGTCAAATAACACCACAGGGGAGACAAATATCTTCATTCATTAAGAAACATTTGGTTGAAACTGGTTATACGATTTTGGTCAAGATTGCCTAGGACAGAGTTCTATGGAGAATGCTGGTGAGTGGCCTATCCCCCTCACGAGGGATATAGGGAAGCCGAAACCCTATTGTGATAAAAAACAATTCGTTCCTTCTGTTAACCTACCCTGGTAATACCGAGTTATTAACTAGAGCAGTTTTCACATTACTTTTGTGTACTTTATTATTTATGTCTCCTCTTACCTTTTAGTTTGTCTAGTTGACCTTTTATTTTGCATACATATCTTAACAAGTATATATGGTCAGATTGTTAGAAATGTATTGCACAAATATATCACATAATTCCTATAACCTGTCATCCCATTGCGTCATCAAAGGATTTAACTGTTGGAAATGTAGTCAACCTTTAATGTAAGTTTTACCTTAAAGGTGTCGGTTTTATAACTAAATGATAATTTGTCTTAAACGCGATTGTAGGAAAATACGTATACACATATGGTTGACCATCTAAGATACCTGCTAATTTGTAATTTGCTCAAAAGTGATTCAGATACATGAGTCACATTCTTGTTGGTGAAATCGATTTAAGTTTCATAATTGCCCTGTCAATGTTCTGACATTCAATTTGACTATCTCCCGTTTAGAGACGTGACTACTGTCTCTACGATGTTTTACAACTGAGATTTTAACATCTTTGCAACTTGTTAGCATTAATTCAAATAAACGTGTATGTAAATAATAGTTGTTTATTAGTAGCCGACTAGTCCTACAAGTGACCTGAACGCTTGTGATTCCGAACATCTAAAAGGGAGCATAGAGAAATTGAGTGGATTGAAGAAAGTTTGTAAAACGAAACTTGAGGAATTTAATTGTAATAACTGTGGCACGGTTCGGAACTCCACAGAGAACATCTGCTCCTCTCAGGTTGTAGAAACGACTCGAGAACCAGTACTAACTAGTACCAAATATGGATTGCTTTCCACTATTATATATTGACCAACCGATCGAAAAATTTTCATTCTTGCCACAACTCATAACTTGGACATCTATGCGACCACCAAAAGTTCAGAACTGGTTATTGTCCTTTTGAATAATGATCCAGCAATTATCGGCTTACAAATATATTCAATAGTTGAGATCATGAGTTCATTGAAACTAGACCACAATGAAAAATCTGGACGGCCGTTTCGTCCTATTGTGTGACTCCTCAGCAGTGCACACCAACGACCCCGCCTCGTGAGATTAGAACACAGGACCTGTCTCACACTCAACCTCTAGACCACTGTGCCGGCATCCAATGGTGTTAATGTCTATCTTCAACTAATCCAAGAAATTGAGTGACACATCCACCATTGACTTCAGTTAGTTATTATCTCATAACAGACTCGGTTGTAGCAATGACCAGTGAAATAAATAATTGTCAGGTTTTTCGCAACATTGTTGATCATGACTTAAACATCATCCACATAATCTAAAACTCTAAAGTGCTAACAGTAGGTTGCTTAAGCAACCAGGACTAACGTTGTCAAGCTTGAACTAAAAATCCAGAGCTCTACACCCTCTAGAACTAGCTTCAAGCTGTTGCAGCGAAGAAAATATTGGGTAAATCGTAACTATGAATTATTTTACTGGGACTATTACATTTTTTTCCATTGTGTAACTGTTAAATAACTGGATTTCCAGACGCCAAATTTTCTACAGTTTTATTGAACTTATGAACGAAAGTCATGCGTTTTAATATTCCTCAATTATCCGAGTCTTGTCCTGTTATATCCCTGAGTCGTTCATAAACTGTGATTTATGATTTAATGAGTTCTGGAAACCCAGGTGTATAAATCCATGAATTTTTGAATTACGATTTCTGCATGGCTAAATTTTATTTCAACACAGATATTGGTACAAAGAGGCACCAAATACATATGCACCACACAAATCTCATTCGATATGTGTGAGGGCTGTGATACTGCCCGGGTGCCCAAACCGAACCAGGTGGTTTTCTTAGGGGGCCACACACCGAGCCTTCGACCTGAAGGTCTGATCTACAAGGCAGTGGAGCATCGTCAGGTAATGCAGTCCCATGGGAGCCGGTGACCAACAATTGGTTCATACGCCATTTGTTCCCGCAGGATACTGGAGCCCATGTGCACCATTGGTTTGGGAGACGGTTAAAGCGCCGGACATTCGCTTTTCGTCCTCTCACTTTCGTAAACAACACTCCCGCCACGAGAAGGCAGTGAGTAGAACTTCCCTGGCAGAGGCTATATACGCGTGGCCATGTGAGAGCATTTCGAGAGGGAGAGCGTACTCTCCCCACTCTCGGCCGTACCAGGGCATTTGGGGGCATGGCTAAATAGTAAAAGGATATGTCGGCTGAAAAAGAAATGTGTCCTGAGCTGATACTAGTTACGATCTATCTCGATCACAGACCGAGGTTAATTGGTTTCAGTTAGAGTGCATCATCAATCAGTAGGCGAAAATAAAAGAGCTATGACATCATGGTAAAAAATTTCTCAACAATGTATTACACCACCAAGATCCAAAAAAGTGACACCTTTTACCGATGATGATTAAAAACTCAATAATCCATATTCCCAACTTGAACCAATTTTCAGTGTAATTAAATGATAATCCCTTTAATGATTAATTTCGTAGTTTGATGCAACTATTTCAACACATACAAACTTTATTTACTTATCATTCCTTCATAATCATTAATCTAAACTGTAATGAAAATTTATGACTCTTCAGTCAGTTTGAATTGTAGCTAGTGTCTATCAACCCATCACCAGAAAAAAACAGGGAATATGATTAAGAACAGTTAACTTTTAGATCATTACTACTGTGACGGTAGTGACGTTACTAATGCGAGTCTGTTTTTGTTATTGTAAGGCAACAAAGAGTAAACGTACTGGGAGAAGAACAAGCCCTACATAAGCTGAACCTGCAGAACGATGAATAAAACTATTTTGTAATAAGTTTTCCCTTTTTGTACTTGAACTGTATCTTTCAATTTTCAAATATATATCTATTTATGCCAGTACGCCGCGTCCTTACTTCAAAGGTATTTACCAGTCCTGATTGTTATAATGTTCTTTCAGATCTCTCCTGCTTCCACCAAGTAAACACTAATATTACATACTACACTACCACTAAACTAGTATCATTTCGCGATCTTAATAACGATCAATTGTTCAAAAGAGAAAATGAACACACTAAAGTTGTTTAGTAATTATAATATGAGAGGCCCCCTAATGCCCTGGTACGGCCGAGAGTGGGAAGAGTCAGCTCTCTCTCCAAATGCTCGCTCATGGCCACGTGCATACAACTACTACCAGGGAAGTCCTATTCACTACCTTCTCACAGCATTACTGTTGTTTACGAACTTGAGAGCATGAAAACCGAATATGCGGCAACTTTAACCAGGTTGGTGGACACGGAGAGTTGGAAAACCCTGGTTCCAAACCAATGGTGCACATTAGTTCCAGGATCCTGAGGGAACAAATGGCGCATTGATCACCGGCTGCCACGGGACTACATCTCTCTAACATGGCTTCACTGCCTTATGAAATAAACCTTTAGATCGAAATCACCGGTGGTGACCCCCTAGGAAAACTACCTGCTTCGATTCGGGTAGTATCCTAACCTTCACACAAATCGAATATCTATTTAATGCCTCCATGTATCAATGTTGAGAGAAAGAGAGAGAGACAAATAAAAAAATAAATACAATATATATTTTTATACAAAACAAAACAGAAAAAAAAACAATATACGTGAGAACAAATTCATATTTATATAAACATAAACATTTTACTTCACCAAAGAAGGAAAAACAACAAACAAAAAAAGAATAATGAATAACGAAAATCTTAATAAAGATACTACACAATCATCATTCATCCTCTTTTTGTGTATCGTTTATCTTTTCCGGGAGAAAATCATCAACATAATGGTACTTTCATATCATTGATTTGTTGATTTATTCACAAAGAAGATGATGATTATCATTATTATTATTATAAATAATGCAAATGATTAGGATGTGTATATAAAAATGAATTTAAATTACTTAATGTACAAAGACCGCTTAATGTGTGATGGATAGAGATTTCCACACTATTTTCAAATACACTATAAAACAAGAACAACAATAATAACAACAATAGAATGTAAATAAGAACAAGAAAACAAAAGAAAAGTTAACTATATTCAAAAGATAAACTGCTGTTTATGACGACTTTATTAGGTATTAGATATTAGAATACAACCAATGGATGAGAATCAAGTTCAAGTGTGTTCCGTTTTAATTTAAGTAACCGGGAAAAATCGGTAAGAATCTATAAAACATTTAGTAGTGTTTCAAGTAATTTTTTAATTATACTTATCTTTAATGGACAGGAAATTCTATTCTACTAACAATTTTTGTTGCCTTTTAAGGGTAGATTAAAAGAATAGGTTAATTGTAGTATTATGATGTGGGTTACTTATATCCACATAAGTAGTATAATATGATGGTGGTCAGGCATAGAATGTATTTCAGCGGAAGATCGATAAGGAAAGAATGGAAACGGAACGCAATTGGTATGAAAAGGCATGAACAATGAGAATTTGAGACAATGGATTGATATTTTGCAGATTAGCTAGTTACTATATGGTTTTCCGATTTTATTGAGATGCTCTGTAATTTCGTATCAAATGCATTCTATTGTTCCCACTCCTGTTCTTATTCACTACAGTATATAACTGGATATGGTGAAATCATCAAATAAGTAACACTGAGGTAAAATGTAGGTTGTTAGATGAAAAAACAGTGAGTCAGTTGATTGATTGAGGTGCTTTCAAAATATGTCTAGGATGAGAAACCACTGTCCACCACAGTGCGCAATCAAGTAATCCGTTGAAGAGAGGCTAAAGGAACAGTTCACGGACCGAATAAGATGGATAACTTGTGTAAAATAAATTTATTATACTAGGAAGTTGAAGGCAGTTGAGAGGAAACATTGGTTAACCAGGATTTAGTAATAGTTGGGATATATCATAAAGCCGTACCTGCAATTTTGAAGGAACTGTTGCTCCCTGATGGATGCGAACCCCGGTCACTAATTTTCATAGTCTCACACATCAGTTATTTGGGCTGTGACGGTTTCTTGCAAGATTAGGTTATTTAGACTTGTTCTATAGAATTAGATCAGAACTAAAGACTAAACAAACATGATAGCACTCAGTCGTCAATCAATATAAATATTCATTGTTTGTTTTACGAATATTTAAAACTTACTGAACATTACTAGAATGAATACTTGATTTTAATTCATGTAAAGATTCTTGTATACTAGAACAATCATATGTAGATTCTTCATGTTCACTTAATGAACGAATTTGTACAAGTAAACTGACAAGTTTTGTAATCAGATCAACTGTTTTCAAATTTCGGAATTTTTGAGCCTATAAACAAAAGAAAGTAAGTTTGAAAAACATTGATTTCAGTTCATGAAACAGACATATGAATAGAATTGAATAATACACAGAAGTGGAATACAACATACGCACTTTTTCCTATTCGAAACTCATCAGCTGGATGGAACTACAACCATATGGTATCAATGTTTACATTGAGACCCGAACCCAGTACCTTTCACTTCTAACGCCCAACGCATTGTTGACTGAGCTTGTGCAACAAGGATGAATTTTTATTCATTTGCAAGGGTTGTTTAGATTTCGTAGTTCATGTTGAGGACTGCAACTGATTTATCTCTTTTTGGCATACTTGCATTCTGCGTGGATTTCTTATTACTTAATGGTGGTATCGATGCAAATCGCACATCTGTCAAAAAGAGATAAATCAGTTACAGTCCTTAACATTAACGGGAAGATTTAAACAACACTTATAAATGAACATAAGAACTATTCTGTAAATCAACGAAAATGTTGAGAAAACTAATCTCTACCCTAATGAATGCGGTTGATCTGACTTTAGAAATACCATTTAAGTCTGACATCAAAAAAAAGGCTATGATTAAAGAGAACTTTCAACGCATTAAAAATCTCCAGTAGTAAGATTTTATTAATTACCCTTACTTTTCTACTATGCTTTTCTCTCTCTTACACCCTTGCAGGACAGACTCTAATTTGATCAATAACTTAGAAATCATAAAGTAGTGGATCAGGAAGCTTTTAACACAAATTTTATTACAAATTGGCATCTACGTTTTTCAGATTTAGGCTAATATATAATATAACATTTTTTGATAAGTTACTCCAACAGTTTAACAATCAGTAACACTTCAGGTCCTACAAGAATATAGTAATTAAAAACATGATGACTAAACAGATATCAGTAAAAGGAAACGAAACTGGACAAATCGCCTGAAAACTGATTGATTCAAGTTAATTACAGTTCACAGAGTTGTATTACAGTGGTCAAACAACTAAACTTCTAACCATTGGGTTGTACAAACGGATTGTGGCCAGCAACCAGATCCAGAATGTGAAGTTTCACCCTAATTTCTCAACTCGTCAGGTACGCGTGCCTAGATCTCAGGAATGTTCACAATCCATTTATTTAATGAAAGCTTGTGAATAGAAGGATGCGGAAACAAGAAAATATGGTTTCTTCGAAGAATTTTCCAGTAGTTTTTAGGATATTTGTGCCTTTCTTAACGATTGCGTTAAAATGCACAAATATCCTAGAAACAAGAAAAATCATGATTTAGCATAGATATCTCAGAGCTTGTCAAATATTAGTTTATTTATTTATTTGTTTATTTGAACACATAAATACTGGTACAATATATATGCGCCACACAAAACAATGAGAATTTAAAGAGAAGGAAAAGGAAAAAAGGTAAAGAGTGTAGAAAAAGAGAACAATATCGAAGAGACTGGTGTAACGTAGTGTAATAATAATAACAATAATAATAGTATTAGTAATAGTAATAATAATAATGGTAATAATAATAATAGGGGAACGGAAAGGTACAATCAGAACAAATCTTTCAGTTAAGGAAGAAACAACCACTTTTTATGAAGAAAGTAAAAGAAGGTTACAGCACGATCGCAACTGGCTTCTATTCTGAGCCATATCTGATAATGTCTCTAGCCACTGCACCATCTCACGGACCCCAAAGAGGGAGTCGTGAAGGACCAACACAAGCCAGTCCTTTGCAGCTTCCTTTCATGCCACGACACCATGTCATACACTGATCACATTTCCGCTTTTTCCAACCAGTCCCAGAGTCGGCAAATAATGCACGACGTGGAATTCTCTGGGACGACATCCGCAGAACATGTTCAAGCCACCGAAGTCTGTGTTTTAAGATGGTGACACAGATCGCATTATCATCTCTGTGCCCGAACACACGATGCCGAACCTCTGCATTACTAACATGGTGTTGCCACCAAATGTCAGCAATCCTTCGGAGACTACGATGATTGAACACAGAGTCGTCTAACGTCCTCGACTCGGAGTGGCCAGGTTTCACAAGCATAGAGCAAAACTGCTCTCACTGACGCGTTGTAGACCCGACCTTTTACAGCCAGATTAACATCACGAAGGCGCCAAAGATGGCCCAGATTGGCATAAGCCGCTCTGGCTTTCAAATATTAGTAATAATACTAATACAAACTATGGGTTGCACATTCCAAACGTGTTTAACCATATAAAAACTCTGAGGCTGAAAGTTCATTGTATGGATTCATAATTAATTGCTGAATGAATCGAAAATTAATATAAAGCATAATACTGTCAAACTGTTCTATTAATAACTATTTAACATCAGTTTAAACTAAAGAGTATCTGAAGCTTGATTTTTACAGATACTCCGAATTCTCTCTATAAATACCGACATACTTTTTTTCGTTAATCTATAAAACGAATAAACATCTCCTGGATTCCTAACCGTTGCGAGTTAGTGCAGAAGATTACCGCGGATGAGAGAAGAAAAGTACCTACGTCTATGGTGTTTTGTGTCATTACTGAGCATAGTTTCCGAATGGTGTAACCAAGTAAATTGTTGGGATATTCGAGAAAATATCCTAAAAATTATTCGCTTAAGTCTATCGCTATCCTTGGACTTGAAATGGTGTTGTTTTCTTATTAGTCAATATTTAATTCACGTGTCGTTTTCCTTCTGGTCGATATTGTACAATTTTCTATTTTATGGTACGATGTGGTCTGCTTGATTGGTATATAAGCAGAATACGTTTGAAATATAATGATTCATATCTCCGAGGTTGAGACTTGCGTTCTGGACTCAACTGGCTAGGCTAGACAGGGAAGCGGGACCAATCAGAACTCTAGGCCGTTGCGCCGTCTTTGGTCCGATCGATAATTCGCTGTCCCCTAATCTGCTGCCGTCACAGTTATAGGATAAATACTTAACAGCATGACACTCTATTATTTAGCAACCGTCTTTCATCTATGGATTATAAAATTCTGATAACATAAGAGGACGTTTTGATATAATAAAATTTTTCTAAAAATCTATTAATGAGATAATTTGGAGAAAAAGAAGCTATAACTTAAATAACTAACCTGCATACTCTTTATTCGTGTAACGATTTCATAGGCATCTTCATCACAACGCTGTTTAAAATCAGCTGCTTGTTCTAACGGCGCTACACCATGTTCTTGAGCAATCTGTAAACAGAAACATGAATAAATTTTTGGGAACACATTATATGTTGCCCCGATTGATCATAGTGAGAATCACTATGATGATCTTATTAGAGTAGAAACGACAATATATGCAATATGTCATTAATCTAGTATACATTGAAAGGTTAAAATGTGAGTTGGTTTTACGTAGTACCTTGGTAATTGAAGTTCGTTTATCTGTTGAGAATTATCGAAACTACTTGACTGTTTAAATCGAACGAAGTAGGTGATACTGTATTTACACCTCGTTAGTTTACTATTTGTTACAATGATACACTATTTTGTAATTGAAAACATAGTGATGGTCGATCAAAGGTGAATGTAATTACCAATCGAAATAAACTAAAAAATATGTTGGTGAATTCATTTGCATCCCCTTCGTTGTACAGGTCAGTGTCAACTTCAATATTCGACTTAACAAAACTCATTAGTAAGCAATCTCAATGATTCTGAAACAACATATAATCTAATTCACGTTTTTTTTAAAAACAATATTCAATAAGTTAGCCAACCAGATATAATGTTGTTATTCCAAAAGATATTGCAAGTATATTCATGTATTCAGCCAGAGTCAAAGACAGTAAGAATGCGGATCCTTTGAAGTTGCTTAAACCCACATTATAACACCACAATAGAAAATCAGGAAGACAAGTAGCATGGGGAAGATAAAACAGTAAACCAAACATGGAAAGTATTGTTCAGGAGAAATGAGTGATAATGAAGATTTTGAGCCATGCCATACAACATCTGAGGCTATAGATTATGGTGAGCGGGGCTGACAACAACAATAAATCTGCACCTACTAACGTATCTCAGATCAAAAGTCAATGACTTCATGAATTAATATTATGTTTTGGTCCGGACGTCATTTAGCTTTTTTCTCAAACATATTTCATCCTCTATACCCCCTATCCTCGCATAATGTGGTGAGGAATGATAACGCATATATAAAATATGCTTCAACCACCAAGATCAATTAAGATTTACAGCCTTAACAATCACCTTGCTATTTTTACCTGAGAAACTGGAATTAACCTTATCAGTATTTATTTAGTGATTCCATTTTGTACAAGCAGTCCTTTGAAAACAACTTATAGGTCATAATTTAGTCGTAGATCAATACAGAATGGAAAGCTGTGTAGCCTGCTCCACTACCTAGCTACTGATATTTACCCTCGGAGAAACAACAGTCCATCAGTCAGCTACAACGTAGGACCAGGCACATATATGCATCGGTTCAAGTTGCCATACCTCATTAGCACAGCAAGATGAACACCGATTTCATAGTAGTTACTTCAATAGTAGTAATATATAGGGTAAAGATTATTTATAAGGATATTAAAAGAAAGGTATAAAGTGATTTTAATTCTATAGTTTAAGGGAAAACAAAGAGTATATACACCATCTACGCCATTGTGACCGATTCTGAGGCAAGTCACTCAGTCTCCAACCACTGGTTACGATAGTCACGCGGACCCCAACCAAGTTACCTGCATCTACCAACATGGGTCAGACTAGAAGTTAGTGACTTTGTGGACTGATGCTACGTTTTGGTTTTGCTACCCCTAACTTTCTTCCAGCCATCCACAACACTAGTCAGCATTGCGCGTCGTGGTAACCGGAGTTCAAACATACGTAACATATGACACAATCATCTCAATCGACGAAGATTCACTACTTCATCAACTGATTTACCATTAATCCCTAATATCCTGCGTCTAAGCTCACTATTATTTACCCGGTGATACCGGAAGATAATGGTAATATTTCTAAGACATCTGTGATCGAATACTAGTAGCTTACGAGTATCTTCTAATGACCACGTTTCGCAGCCCTAAATTAGAACAAACGAACTGCTGCGCAATATACACGTTCCTTGATTGACAGGTGGATATTTCGCCTTCACCGTGGGTAACGTGAGTAGGCAAAAGCCAAACGAGTTATCTGAATCCGTGCTGAGATTTCGTCAGACACTAACCCATTTGGGTTGATCAGACTCCCAAGATAAGTGAAGTTGTCAATGCGTCCGACTATTTCATCCTCTATCCTTAGTTCAGGGGTTGACGCAGACCAGTCCTGAAGTAACTACTGTCATTTAGAAGGAGAGAAACATATCCCAAACATCGTGACATTGTTGCTCAGTGCTACCAGAAGACTCTGCATTTTGTCAGCGTCTTCACCAAACAGGACTATGTCATCTGCGTATTCTAAGTCGATAAGCGGACCTCCTGGATGGAGATCAATACCCGAGAATTCAATCCACGAGAATGTTATTTCCATCAGTAGGTCTATGAAGAAGTTAAACAAAAATGGCGAAAGTGGACAGCCTTGGCGGACACCACCACTTGAGGTTGTAAAAGCAGATGACAGTTTGCCATAAGCTCTGACTCGAGTGGTAGTGTTCGAGTAAAGAGCCTTCACAAGGTTTATGTACTTCTGAGGTACGCCTTTCAATGACAGACACTGCCAGAGAATCTCGCGGTCTATTGAGTCAAATACTGCTTTTAAGTCAAGAAAGACCACCATTGTCGGACGCCGATAAGTATGCCTGTGTTCTAGAACCTGACGAATGGTGAATATGTGGTCGATGCAGCCACGACCAGGTCTGAAGCCAGCTTGGTTGTCTCGTGTTTGCAGTTCACGAGTCTTAGTTAGGCGTCTGATAATTATCGAGGCTAGTATTTTAGATATTATATTAGTTAAACTAATCCCTCTGTGGTTGTCACAGGATGATTTTGACCCTTTCTTATATATTGAGACGATCAGTGATTGTGACCGGTCAGATGGGATAACGTCCGACTGCCAGATTTTAGATAAAAAAAATTAGTCAACCTAATCGCTAAAATTGGACCACCATCCTTAAAGACCTCTGGAGTCAATCCATCTAGACCAGCTGCCCTTTCTCATTTTGATTAGTCACTGAATACCATATATAACAAATAATGGGGGTACAACTGGGTTTCACACAGATTATGCAATCAAAAGTTAAATTGAGTAGATATCACAATAAATGAATAAAGACGAATGATGGATGTCATACTAAATGAACACCACACAAATGCGTTACTGGATTAAAACATGATATTGCGTGGTAGAAGTTGGTGAAAACAAGATCAGGTTTACATCTGTCCCGAGTATTTGTTAATTATCAGTCTTTAAGTGTTGGGCGGCCGAGCCAAAACGTGTCATCAGTGCTTGAAGTCACTAACTTCTAGTCTGAGCCATGTTGGTAAATGCAGACTACTTGGTTCGGGTCCGCGTGACTATCGTAACCAATGGTTGGAGATTCTGTGTGACATCACTCAGAATCGATTACAATGTCTTAAGTGTATACACTCTTTGTCTTCCCTTGAGATTAAAATTGCTTTATATCTTTCTTTCTACGAACTAATTCTTTCTTCCTGTACTATGTCCTTATATTTGAACTTTCTTTTATATATTACCACGACTGAATCAACTACTTCTATGAATTTAGTGTTCATCTTGTTGTGCTAATGAGGTATGGCAACTTGGGCTGATGAATATATGTGCCTAGTCCTACATTGTGACTGACTGACTTGGAGTTGCTTACACACTCCAAGTATTAATTTATTATTTAAAAAAAAGGTACAACTTATAAAATGTATGAAACAATAACTTACTTCATTTGCATATTGTAATACATGTACTAAATATTGATTTAATTCTTTATTTAAACGTTCTAAATGCATAACCAAAGTGAGATATGTATGTTGAAATTCTAAAGATAATTCAGCTTTATTAGATATCTATAATATATATATATATGAACTATTGAAAGAAAGAAATTCACTACAAACTTTTCGTTCTGCTTCATCATTTAAATCTTGTAATTCATCAACACATCGTTTCTTAACTTCTAGAATTTTAGATAATTTTGTCTACAAGAGAAAAAAAATTTTTCATTAGGAAAATATACATTAAAGTGTAATTTAAACTGAATGTAACTCATTTACAGGTTTATATTAATGGCTTTAAGAGATCGACCAAAATAAAAATGGATAAACACGAAAATGAACAGTATTATTATTCACGTTAATAAGAACCAACTAACAAGGAATATTTAAGTTAGGTATCAATATATGACTGTATTAGCTAAGGCGATTGACGCATATGCTAACGATGATTAATCATAAACTTAACTCAATTAGAGGTGTGATAGGTTTTAGAAAGCCATGAACTGATATTAATAAATGTCACTAGTGTGTAAGATTAGTGACTTTTAGCCAAAGGCTGTAGAAAAGCCCAAAACGACAAAAAATGTCCCACCGAATGCTCCGACGTGCGATGTTTCATGGTGTAGGGGAAGATTGAAAGAAAGCTAGGGGCGGCCAGAACAAAACATGGCGAAAATCCATGAAGTCACTGACAAGTGGACTGAGCCATGTTTGTAGATGTACACTACCTGATTGGGATCCATGAGACGATAGCAACCGATGGTTAGAGACCTTGAATGAAATGGCTCAAAATCGTTTGCAATGGCACAGATGCATCCACTCTTTGTGTTCTCCCAAATAATAATATTCTCAATTCTTCATGTCCCTTTTTTCCTTTTTCAATATTTAGTTCACTGGATTATACTCCTTGAATAACATCTTCAAAACCTAATCTTTCCGATTACTGCTTATACTTATACTGCTTATACCTCTATCACTGCCGGATTTGAATTGACAATTGTATCTCTGTGCTAATGTGCTAACTTGAACTGATGTACGTACACACGTGGTTCTACGTTGCTGCTGACTGACTGAAGCATCAGAGAGCTAAAGTTTGCCGACAACTTTAATATGAATGTAACCCTAGGGGAAAAATAACTCATGGTTACTGATAAGATGAGTGAAAATTGATCCTAACTGTCAAAAATTAATTCATGGAGATTTCCTGTAATCACTTATTAAATTTATTTATGTACATAAGCGTTTCACATCATTTGGGAAAAACCCTATGTTTTGGTTGATTTTTAGGTGCTTCAGTACGTAATTTGACCTCGTGAGCAGCAGCCATAAGTCAACATTCTACTCATTCGAACAATTCAAAAATTTAAGCCAAAGTTACGTACCACATTTTATGTTATGAAGAATCACTGCCTAGGAAAAAACCTACTTACCACCATGACTAAAAATTTCATTGGATACCCTCCATATATATCGGCCTCATTGAGAAGTAAGCGACCACCTGAAGATTCATTCAAAGATAGTGCAGCACTGCCCATTGATGCAGCAACGTCACCGCTGCTAATTGCAGGAAGTTTTAACGGGGTTGACAAGAGATTATTATTATTAGTGGTAGAGGTGGTGGTCATGAAGTTTGGAGTTCTCGTCGACGGACTACCACCAATAGTCCCACCACTAGCTGCAGCTGCAGCTTCCGACTGACATAAAGGGCAGTCATGAACAGCTAAATCACCGGACCCACCACCACCCTGTCCTATTCCATGTCCGAATTTATGATGATGCATATGATGACGTTTGCCCTATAAAAAAAGACAAATCGAGTTGTGTTGAAATGTCGTTAGACAGCAAACTACTCGGACTTAAAGGAGTAACAGTTATCAACTGATATGAACTCTTACTTCAGATCAAATTTCGATAGCTTTGACCAGAAAGTCACAAAATACATAGTAAAATAAATGTTTAGAAGTTATTAATCAAAAAGTTAATGTTTGGTTTATAGCCCGTATACAACCACTGTCAGGGAAGTCCTATTCACTGCCTTATCGCAGCACTACTGTTGTTTACGAAATTGAGAGGACGAAAAGCAAATGCCTGGCACTTTAACCGGATTGGTGGACACGGAAAACCCACCTAGGGGAGTTGGAAGACCTTGTTTCCAAACGAATGGTGCACATGGGCTTCAGGATCCTGAGGGAACAAATGGCGTATGGACTTACTGTTGGTCGCCGGTTACCATGGGACTGCATCTCCTGACATTGCTCCACTGCCTTTTGGATCAGGTGTGGCCCCTTAAGGAAACCACCTGCTTCGGTCCCGGCACCCGGGCAATATCATAGCCCATATACTAATCGAGTGACTTGTGTGGTGCATATGTATTCGGTGCCCCTTTGTAACAACGCTTATGTATGAAAATAAATGAATTAATTAAACTATCCCGTGCTTATCGACAGACTTCAGCACGGTCTATAGTGTCAAAAAAACATTTTGTATGTGAGCTAGCTCTACACCCGACAATATTTTGTAATACTCAGCCAAATAGTAAAAACATAATGCAGATAGATCAGAGCACTTGCGAATGCCTTTTCAAGTACAGGGATCCATTTATGTTTAAACCTCGAGAAGTCAGTGCACGTACTGAAATGTGTGAAAAAAGCATATTTATACTTGTCGGTGGATTTTTGGGTAAGTACACAACTTAGATTAAAGGCGAAAACGTTTGGCTATGTTAAAAAGGTGTATGTGGAAGAAAAGTGACAATAGTTGGTAATTTTTCACAAATACACAGATACATTTATACTGACTCCATCTGACAATTTGTCCAACCTTTGTCAGGCTAAACAAAATTTTTTAAGTACTGACAAATCACAGTGTAATTTTGGACAGCACTGTATGAAAAAAGTATGTTGGGCAGCCAATAATGTCACTGAAACTAAAGTAATGTGATGTGGTAAAAGAAACTGCAAACTAAACAAGTAAAATAGTAAAATACACTGGACCACATTTAAGTCTGATGACCGGGTAAAACTTGGTAAAACGAATTATCGCCTTAAGAGAAAAGATTCTACCTTGGTAATTTTTCAAAATTAATCTTTGTACATATATGACATTCTACACATGATTTTTACAAATACGAATCAACCAATTACCTGTAAAGCAGATTGTGCCAGAAGTCGAGCGGGACTCATGAAAAGATTACGACTGGCTTTGTGCTGGGTTTTGTATGCAGACAAGGGTATAGTTTCTTGGGGTAAAATACTCAGGACTTCATAGTCAGGTATTGACCGAGTGCCAAGAGCAGGCTTATCGAAAGTGACACGATAGCAATGTCTTAATGCATCGATAGCATCGACTTTCCCAGTGTACAAACCATCCGTTGGGTAGCGAACCCTGAAAATGTGTAGACGTTAGACGGCGCAACTGTCCGTTTTTGCATAATTAAAGCATGAAATTCTAAAAATCATTACTTAATCAATATTTCTATAATATTACTGGAACTTCAGTAAGTGCGTATGGTCTTGATTATTAAACTTATTACGTAGAGATTTGATAAATCATTTTATCAAAGGAGGAAACTAGTTCTATAATCTGTAGTTAAGATTAATCAAACACAATTGGACCGTGGCTTAAAACCAAGTTTATGAACCTGTATCTGATAAAGGAGTTAACATAAAAAGGTCAAACCTATCAGTCTGTCAGAAATTTAAATAAGTGAACTACTGTGATTATTCATTGATATTTACAAAGTGCTCCAATAACGGCTAGGTACTGATAAATAATAGGCGAATTCCATTTGATGCTAGTCTTCAAACACTTTTATACAAACGGCAATAGATCACCAAAATTCAATTTATTAAGTTATACTTACATGAACACTAAATCAACTTAACTACTAGTGCTGAAAAGAGGCAGTAAAGTGGTTAAAAGAAATCTGGAGATGAACTACTACAATCAAATTACTGGAGGAGGCAGTCAAATCTATTGGGATCGAGAAAACCACCTGATTATCCAAACTATTTTCTGATTGATCAACTGAAAATTAACGAAACTCCGTCTAGAAACGAGTGACTAGGCGAACAGAAGTTACTTTTTGGCGTGTAGATAGTTGAGCTACCTTCAAAAACATTTAGTCCACGGAGAAATATGATGACAAACAGTAACTTTGGAGCTAGAAATTTTGCTTGACGTGGGTTAAAGTTTCAGTCCATTAGTCAGTAATAAAGTGGAACTTCGTACGTACGTACATCAGTTCGAGTTGCCACAGCATTAGCACAGAGATGCAGTTAAAGTTTCAGATTCGTCTCGTACCATACTTGAGAAATAGTCTACTTCCATACTTCCTTGTGGTGCACATCGTTCATTCCACTGACAATGGATACGGCCGAGGGTGAGGAGTCATCTCTCCCTTTCGATATGCCCACATAGTCACGCGTATACGGCCACTACCAGGAAGGTCCTACTTACTGCCTCCTCGCAGTGGGCGCGTTCTTTAAGAAATCAAAAGGACGAAAAGCAAATCTTCAGAGCTTCAACCGGGTTGGTAGATATAGAGGATCCATCTAGGGGAGTTAGAAAGTCAAGATTCCAAACCAAAGATATACATTAGCTCCATGATCCCGAAGGAAAAAGTGATTTACGGATCTATTGTTGGTCACCGGCCACCATGGGACTGAATCTCTTAAGGTTGACCCACTGCCTTGTGGATTAGACTTCTAGGTCAAAAGATCCAGGTGTGACTCTCTAAGAAAACCACCTGCTTTGATTTGGGCACCCGGACAGTGTTACAGTCCTCACATGGATCGATTATAACTGCTGCTGGCCTCATTGTTATTGTGTCGTACCAATGGTTATGTGTCCAAACAAAAATAATAGACTTGACGACACCGTCTATAACCAAACTAGTTAGGTCTTACATTATAAGTGTGGATCATGTTCTGATGGAGGATGCACATAACTGCTAAGTATAGTTCTGAGTACATAACTGCTGACTTTTGTGCAGCAAACAAATGAAATAACAAAAGAAATAAACTAAGCTTTATACTTGTATTAACATTATCCAGGTGACGAAAACAAGTTAAAATTCTTACCTAGCAGTTATTTTCGTTCCTATTATTAGTGGCATTGGAACGTGCATATCGTCCGGGAGATCTCTTAGGAACTCTAGTTGCACTGACCGAGTAGCTTGCAAGGTGCGGATTTTTTCACGCTTTTCATTAAGGGAACGACGTTCTTCGTCAAAGAAAGCTGTAGAACAACGACGTGGCTTTCCCATCAAACGACGTAGTAGTGACCAATGAGCACGTGATAAACGGCGAGTTTTGACGTTTGGAAAGCTCTCACGAAGACAAATGCGGAAATCATTTTCGCCTAGTAATAAAGGTCTGAGGAAATAAAATCGAAGACTACATTACCTGTCCAAATTGGAGTAGAACCACTCGTAAAACACCCATTTATGTGCCTTCGGTAGCTTCAAAACATTCCGCAGACGGACGGCATTTGTTTGTGCCATTCGCCTTTCAGGATGATGCATTTGCGTACGCCAGGGCATATGCCCAATCATTGATTTATGCTACGAAGTTACATTAGTGATATAACATACCAGTTTAGCAGGCTTTCTCACTTTTGGTGACATTTCTTCTGCTTGTACAGGGGGTCTTGGGGAATGTAGTAATCGGGGTTTGTAATTTGTTGGGGGCTCATAATAATCATCACTATAGTACCGGTTTTTCTTCCGAACCCGAGGCGGCTATATTCGTAAAGTTGGGGGAAAAGACACACTTACATTTTTCCTGTAGGGGCTATTGTACTCCTCTCCTTCATCCCCGGAATCTGATAGGTGAAAACCAGTTATTTAACAAACTTACAATTCTGAGCTTCCGAGGACATTTTGAATCAAAATGCCGGCGGGCTCGCAACAAGGACTGGTGGAATAAGTCCACCGGTACAATGTCCAATTAAATTTCTGTGATGAAAAACTTCAGGGACTGAATAACAAACTTTATTAGAGACTCAACCGAGTTCAATTACTTTGACACTCAATATATTATGGTTATCGCTGTTACTTAGGTCGTCGACATTATTGTTTGCGGATGATGTAAAAATCACGAGAACAATAGAAAGGGAAACTGATCATCTGGATCTTCAAGCTGACTTGGACGATTTAGTTAGATGGCCTTGAGAGTGGGGCTTAGAAGTCAATGCTAGGAAGAGTGTACTAATGCACATCTGTCACGGTAATAGTTACCGTCACACTATTGAGGGTAAACCTCTTCCATGCGTTCAAGAACATAAAGACTTAGAAGTAGTAATAAGTCATGACTTAAAAAAACTACGCATTGTAACGCAGCCACTGTCAAAGGTTTTCGTGCGTTATGGTCACTTCGCCGAGCGTTCGAATCTTTCAACGAGGAAACGTTTCGAACTTTATATCCCATATATGTTAGACCACATTTAGAGTACAGTATCCAAGCAGCTAGCCCGTGTCTGGTAAAGGATACTAACTTACTTGAGCGTGTCCAGCGTGTAGGAACGAATTTAATTAAGGGTCTTTCTGGACTCCCTTACGATGAGCGTCTAAAACGCCTAAATCTTTTCCCCTTGTCGTATCGTAGGACACGAGGTGACCTTATACTGGCATTTTGTATCTGTAATTATGATTTGGGTGTCAATATGTCTTATCTTTTTGCTCCCTCCAGCACTGATAATCTCCGAGGTCATAGCAAGAAGGTTCATAAACCACGATCTAATAAACTTGAAGTGGGGTTCCGTTTTTCTCATCGAGTAGTCAATGATTGGAACACCTTACCCAAACAAGTGGTATCACCCTCATCAGTAAATACTTTCAAGGAGAAGCTGGACCTTCATTGGAAAGCAATCCATCAGGATTAATACAGGTTCATCAACCTACTATCCTTATAACTGACGACTGAAGACTGAAGAGGGTCTTTACTTTTTAATAACAGTAAATTGGAGTGGCAAATAAATGTTCAGTCTTCAGTAATATGGATAGTAGGTTGGTGAACCTGTATTAATACTGACAAATTGCTTACCAGTGAAGGTCCAGCTTCTCCCTGAAAGTATTGACTGATGCTGCTGATTTTTTCAGATTCAGATTCAGATTTGTGTAGTAAGGATAGAAAGCCTACGGCCTATGTTATTCGTTTTCCAGTATGCTTCTGTGATTGTTCAGTCTTCTCTTAAAAGAGTCAGTTGAAGGTGCGGATACCACTGCTTCAAGTAGTAGGTTTCAAGTATTGATGACTTGGTGTGAAAACCTGTATGCCATAGGTATTTTGTTTGTTCTTGGCTTTTCAACTCACCTGCTATGTCCTCTGAGGTGTAACGATCTAGTGGGAAAAAGAGAGAGAATAACCTAGATCCGAAATAATTTCCCAGTATTTTGTACATCAAAATTAAATCTCCCCTTAGTCTGAGATAGGACAGAGTAAAGAGGTCCAGTTTTTCAAGCCGCTCTGTTTATGATAAACCGCGGAGTTCCGGAATTGCACGGGTAGCTGCCCTCTGTACTTTTTCTAGTATGTCCAAGTCACCTTGTAAACGGGGGCTTCCAGCCTGAACGCAGTTCTCCAGCTTAGTTCTCACTAAGGATGTGTATGCTGTGGTGAACATGGTAGAATTTGACTTAGCGAATGTCCTTTTTTAAGCCCATAGGGTTCGAAACCCCTTGACTGCGACCTCCCGGTAATGGGCCGTCGTCTTAAGATCATTACTCACTGTCATCCCTAGATCCTTATGAGACCGGACGACGGGTAATGACATATCCCCTACGTTGTACGTACTAACCTTTGGGTCTCCCAAGTGCATATAGACACTTTTCCGCGTTGATAGGCATCAGCCACTCTTCACACCAGTTTATCATGTTATTTAAGTCTACCTGAAGAGTAAATGCGTCTTTGTCTCCCGTTATTAGTCGCCAAATTTTTACACCGTCAGCGTATAATAACATCGGAGACTGTACTATACTTGTAAGATCATTAACGTACATAATAAAAAGTAAACCCAACCGTTCTTGCTGCTTTGACATGGTGGTCAGGCTTGCCTATCGTGATGAAGCAACCGAGCAATACTGGCTAGAACAACCGTTCCTCAAGGTCCTACCATGTCAGACAGGTCGGTTGAAGAGCGGTAAGACTAAAAACAACAAATCCAAGGTCCGAAGGCGAAGTCGTACTGATGACTGTACAGAGGCGTGACAGTAGTAAGGTGTTTCATTCAGACAACCAGCATGACAGCGATGCTGCCTTTCCACAAGGAGGGGTGGGGTTGGAAAAGGTCGACCCTAAAAATGTACACCTCGTTTTATCCCGCGGATATTCGTCTCCGGTGGTAAGGTCTCAATAAGTACGGAGCTAACACAAAAATTACATATAAAAGGGTCGTGTGTGACCGACCTCAAGCAGTTGTCCCTTGGGCACTGCGGTCACGCTCTCAGGTCACTAAGACCACCTCTAATCCAATTGCCTTTTCAGGTACCTCCAGAAGAACCCTTCCATAGTGTGGGCAACCGGAAGTGATAGCCGCCCTCATACCTCTAACAGCACTCAAAACCACTGTATTCATAATCAACCTCCGTCTTCACGTCATATTATTCCTCCTACATCGACTTTCACCTTTAAACTTCCTTTTTCGGCTTTCCCCTTCAGTGTCACCATAGTCAACGATTCTAGTGCTCAAAACACTGTCCCAGGTCTACTGAAACCTCGCTCCAAACTACAAATTGTAGGTATCAACGTACGCACCCTATGCCAAATCGGTCAACAGGCTTCCTTGGCTAGAACCATAGAATCTCGTACCATTGATGTATGCTGTGTCTCTGAAACACGCATACAGGATCCCAGTGTGGTCATTCACTTGACCTCACCTCAACAAAACGGAGAGCCAACGAGATACACCCACCGTGCATCTGGTGACCCGACGGTCAGCTCTCGTGGACTGGCAGGTGTAGGCATAGCACTAAACACGAGGGTCGAACAAGCACTGCTAGAGTCGTCTATATGCTGTTCGGCTAAACGGCTACGTAAGAACTCGGAAGGATAGGGACACACGTCGTTGCCTTTTCGTCGTTTCTACCTACGCTTTCGTGTTTGCAGTTCACGAGTCTTAGTTAGGCGTTTGATAATTATCGATGCTGGTATTTTAGATATTATATTAGTTAAACTAATCGCTCTGTGGTTGCCACAGAATGATTTTGACCCTTTCTCATATATTGGGACGATGAGTGATTGCGAACAGTCAGATGGGATAACGTCCGACTGCCAGATCTTAGCTAAAATATTAGTCAACCCAATCGCTAAAATTAGACCACCATCCTTAAAACCTTCTGGAGCCAGTCCGTCTGGACCAGCTGTCCATCCTCGTTTCAGATTAACTATAGCCTTCTCAACTTCAGCAAGAGTTGGGGGACCTACTTGAATTTCCTATTCACATTGCCTGGGAGTAGAGGGTAGTTATAGAGTAGCTGAAGGGCAGTTGAAATGTTCTCTAAAATGATCCGCCCATCGTTCTAAACGTCTGGACTAGGAGCACATGATAGTATCGTCTTTTTCCGAAATAATCTCACTTACACTTGACTTATTAATTCCAGTTTCTTTTATTAGTCTGTAAAGCTGTCTTGTGCTCCCTATAGTCGCCGCCTTTTCCATCTCTTTTGCTTTCGTTACCCACTACTGCTCACAGTCGTTTCTACGCTTTTTCTTAACCTAGATCTGACTTTTTACGCTCTTCATCATGTTCAGAACCTGATGGGACGAGTTTGCGAGAATCCATCAGTGTGATAGACCTTGAAGAAATCCAATGGTTCTTTGTAACTCTGTGGTTTAAGTCACTAATAGATGTCACTGCTGTTTCCACAGCCGTTTGTATATCTTTCCAGGCAACATCTGGGTCAGCCTAAGTGTAACCTCAGTTGTTCCTGGAACCTACTTTCGGTTTCCTCGTTACTCAACTTAGTCCTAACGGGTCTTTTTACTGAGGCTTTTTACGTCCAGTGAGGCGCAAGCAGATGCGTGCCCGTATTAGGGCGTGGTCACAGTCCAAGCAGGTACTCCAGGATGAGTGACAATCTTGTACTGACCCTCTCCAACGATGACTGATGGCAATATGGTCTAGTTTAGTCCATCGTTGGTTTGGTGTAGAGGGTTGCCATGTTAAACGACGTCTCTCCTTATGCTTAAAATTTGTGTTTGCTAAAAATAAACGATTGTCTGAGCATCGTTACAGCAGACGATTGAGATGGTTGGACCACGTGTTACGCACGCCTGAACACCGATTAACACGACGTGCAATGCTAACTGGTGTTTGAGATGGTTGGATGAAAGTAAGGAGCGTGCGTAACACGTGGTCCAACCATCTCAATCGTCTGCTGTAACGATGCTCAGACAATCGTTTATTTTTAGCAAACACAAATTTTAAGCATAAGGAGAGACGTCGTTTAACATGGCAACCCTCTACACCAAACCAACGATGGACTAAACTAGACCATATTGCCATCAGTCATCGTTGGAGAGGGTCAGTACAAGATTGTCACTCATCCTGGAGTACCTGCTTGGACTGTGACCACGCCCTAATACGGGCACGCATCTGCTTGCGCCTCACTGGACGTAAAAAGCCTCAGTAAAAAGACCCGTTAGGACTAAGTTGAGTAACGAGGAAACCGAAAGTAGGTTCCAGGAACAACTGAGGTTACACTTAGGCTGACCCAGATGTTGCCTGGAAAGATATACAAACGGCTGTGGAAACAGCAGTGACATCTATTAGTGACTTAAACCACAGAGTTACAAAGAACCATTGGATTTCTTCAAGGTCTATCACACTGATGGATTCTCGCAAACTCGTCCCATCAGGTTCTGAACATGATGAAGAGCGTAAAAAGTCAGATCTAGGTTAAGAAAAAGCGTAGAAACGACTGTGAGCAGTAGTG